GGACGGCAAAGTTCATCGTTTGGGTGGTCAGCAGAAGAAGAAATACATACATCAAGATCAGCGACACCCACCTGTGTAGCCCTTTGCATTCTTCGTCTTGACTTTTCGAACAATCACTCGTTGCTTCCTTACACGCTTGCCATCTTCCTTTTTCTTTCTAAGCGTGGCTGGTCGTTGCTCGGCTGTCTTGCTTGCGGAGCTCTTTGCGATGTTGGACACCTTTGTCTCATCGCTAGCCATTTCTGTGTCCCCGTCTGACGTGAATGAAGTCACTTCAGCGACGCTGTCTCACCACAATTAGTGAGCAGGTTCACACTCTCACCTCTGTCCATCGAGTACCCGATCTTCTCTTGTTCTGCATCCCGGGATGCGGCCTCGGGGTCTTCAACATACTGGTCCATTTCTTGACTCTCTTCCTCATCTTCGTCTTCGGAGTCCGGTAGCAGCCCTTTGCGTTTCTTTGATGCGGCTGAAGGGGTCGGCTGGGGTCTACTGAAAGGGAGGAGAATCTGTGCTGAGCTTCGCATGCATCAACTTGAGGCTACGCATAGTCTCACTTAGCCTTGCTCCAGCTCAGACCGCTGGTCGCCTTCTTTGCAGCTGCGCTCGTGGATAGTCCTGTCTCTGTCTGCTCTTTCTTGATGGTAGCGCTCGGTGCGCGGGTAGCAACTGTGGCTTTCTGTACGCTGGGATGGGAGGGCGCAGAGAGACCTGCTGGCATAGACTTGGCTTCTACCTGCCGGGCACAACCAAAGAATCCGAGCTTGCTTTCAGCACATCCTAGCCGCTGTTCAAGCTTTTGTGCCATGGATCGACGCACCTGCTGAATCCCATCTAGGGCGATGCATCCCAAATCCGGCTTGCCATTGTCAAGGCCGATCTCTCGCACTTGCACACCAAGTGATATCAGCTGGGAGATCGTGGCTGCATCTAGACCTGCAGCTGAAGCTTTGCCGTCACCAAGCTCCGATGCGCGCCTCTTAATCACAGGCGAGAGCGAGTAGAGTTGCTTGGACAGCTCGCCATCGAAGCGCGAGCCGATCGCTGCACAGAAGAGCGCGTCATTGATATGTGTCAGCATTTCAATCGGCCTGCAAACAGAACAGTCGGACCGCGATCGAGATCGCCCGAGCCACCTTCATGGCTTCGCCAGCAACGTGCTGCTCACTTGATAGCTCTTCTGACGGCACCAGAAGCATAGCTGTGCGAGTAATTGCTTCGGCGTACCCCCTCTGGCCGCTCTGGGAAGTCCCTGAAGATGATCTTGCCTCGAGCCGACTTTCATGGACCTCCTCCCCATAATGAGTTGATTTCTGTTCAGGATTCGGCCGCAACCGGCCACTTATAAGATATGTAGCACATACCGCTTCCGCATTTGCCTCTGCGTACTTTGCTAGCTCTCTGGCGCGCGCCGCAAGTGCGACGAGGACATGTAGAAGGAGGGCTGGATCAGCACCACTGAATATGATCAATCCATGAACCGCGGAGCAGAGCTTACGTCCGTGCTTCATCGAGATGAGTACCCAATGCTCTCGAGAGTAGCCTCGCGGTGACAGCCTTGCCATCCCGCAGTTGGGTGGCCGAGAAGCTGTCGGCTGTTGCGGCACGACCCTGAGCCATGATCGACTGATGGGCACGGACGAGCGCAGGATGCCCCGTGTGCTCGCAGGATGAAGGGTCGGCGAAGCGGAGGAGCACAAGCTTGGAGATGACGAAGGTCGGCACGCCCGGTCGAGAATGTTTGACGTCACCAAAGCAGTCGTGCTGTGGCCCTGTCTAAAGCGCTGGTCAAATCGACAGACGGCCCGTGAACTCTGACAGCGGTGCGGAAATTGGCAGCAGATCGAATAAGCCGAAATGACGGGCCAAGTGGCTTGAGAGGAGAATCGCTTCTTGGGTCGCTTCGTTGGATCTCCGAGCTTACGGCTGTGCTCGATGGGAGCTTTGTCGGGCGCAATGGCTGACGAGATCTGCAGGATTTGTGCCTCTAAAGCAGGGGGCCAGTGTGACCTGGAGAGAGAGCTGTGGATACTGCGCAAGGAGGAGTCAAGAGTGTTGCCTGTCGGAGAGCCAGCAGCAGTGATCGACATCACCAGTCAAGAGTCGCAGCAGTCGTGAGTCGTGAGTCACGAGTCTTGAGTCTGCATGAGTGTGAGCGTTGGCCGACCGGTTCAACGCGCGTACGGTACACACATCAGAAGCAATCATGAAATCAAGAATAATCGTGGATACACTCACGACTGTGACTCAATAATGACTTGGTCGTGATTGTATGAGCAGCAGCAGCAGGGCGCGTGACGTGCGAAAAGACGCAACGCGTTTCCGCTGCGTGGCGCGCGTTTAATTGACGCGTCGCGCGGGCACGTCAAACTCCTCCATCCACAGTATCCACGACTCGTTCGTTCGTGACTGAGATTGAATTAGGGTGTTAATCAATCAAGAATCACGAATCACAATCAATCAAACTGAATGGGTGCATGCACACATCACATGATGCACAGACCCTCAACCATGTAAAGCTCGACCATAGCGATTGACCCTGAGTGCCTGCATTCACGACAGGCTACGACCAAGCTTGACAATACGTTCTCTTCATTTGGAAACCAGACAAGTGGACAGTGATGGCTCCCTTCTTTAGCTTGCGCGACTGGGCTAGATGCTTACAGATACTTGCCGCGGGCAGATTTGCGCGAAATGACAGAAGCTAAGAATCGATTCGAGTCCAATTCCATGGTTCCCAGCCTTCGCTGTTGTTCTATGAACGCCGTTTTGCCGAGACATCAATGTCGTGAAATGACCTGGACAGACGATGCTGACCGACAAGCAGTACTCGAGCTGTCTGGACGTCAGACGATCGGAACGATGCGGAATTGCAATCTCGAGAGTTGGACTCCCAAAGCCGATAATAGGCTTACGGGTCTCGTCCCGACATCGACATGTTGTGGATAAACGGGTTTCTGACTTCATATTTCCGACCGTTGACTCTTGGCGAGGCTGCCTAGGAGTATTGATGCGGTCGAAAGCCAAGCCAAGCCTCGCCTGTGCATCCGTGTTTGCAAAGATGCCAATGGCCGCGGACGGCAAATGAAGCTCGCAGCTCTCGCGGTCTGTGCCCCCTCGACTCTAAATGAAGTCGACCCTGCATCCATGGGACGAGGGCCTGCCTCACTCCAGCGACCCTCGCATTGCATCCTTGCGCAGCTAGCGCCCCTGCAATCTTGAATTGTCTTTCGCTTGCTCGGAAAGCATGGCAGCAGTAATTGCTGCAGGGTCGTGCGACTTTTCGACATGGGCCAATAATGACACCGGAGAAATCAGCTCTTTAAGCCTGGCGGCCTCGAGACCCATTCGCAGCACACCTTGTTCGAACGCAAGCTCCTGTGACCGAAGGCACAGGCGATGCGTCAATAAACTCCATTGCGCAGCGTCGGCTCGTGCGGGATCGGGCTAGCGTGGACGGCGCTCTCATTTGAACCCTCAACAAGGCAGAAGCGCACGCTTCTGCCAGCACCCCTATTCATCAGAGCAGGCACCCAGGCTCGGGCCGCGCGGTTTCGATAGCGAACGATTGGCAATCTTGGCGGACCAGGGCGAGCCCTTGCTATGTCTGGGCAGCTGATCTGAAAGCGGCACGGCCATCCGAAATGAGCCGAGCACGTAGGCAGGTCATCGCGCCGGTGCTCGCTTCATGAGCGGCGGTTCACGACGCTGAACTTCAGCAAAATCGGCCCTTTGCACCCCATCCAGCTGCTCTGGTCCTGCCAAGGGTGGCTGCCCAGGGATCCGAGCGTCTGGTCAGCAAGAAAGTCGGGATTCATTTCAGTCTCTTGTGGAACCCATTTGTCCCAGTGACATCGATTTTCAACTCGCGTCGTCCATCTCTCCTGCGGAATGCTTTCATCTTTCAGGTCTCGATTCGTTAATGAGTCAGGCAATCTTATCGAAGCCTCTTTA